AATTAAATCTATTAAAATTTATCAAAGAAGTATTAAATTGACTTCTTAATTATTAAACATATGTTCATGAAAAATTAACTTATGGCTTATGTGAGAACAAATTTTAACCTCTAAAGGGACTTGGTAGGAGTTGTGTTTCTCTTTCGCCCCTCCTCTTTGGATGAGGAAAACCTAAATGGCAGCTGTTGCTGGCACTCCCAAAGCTTGAGATTGCTTTCTCTTTCACCTCTAAAGGAAAATTGAATTTTTTCCATTCAAACTAACACATCTTGGTATTTGACTGCCTATTTGCTTTGAATTTGAGATTATCTGGGAATTTGCTAAAAGGGTGATTATGGATTTTGATGCTTCAAGAGCCATGAGAAGTGATTTAAGTTTTTCAGGGCGGAAAAATAGTTTATGTTTTTGGATGTGTGTTTTGATAGAGTGAGTTGGGGTTGTGAAGTTCTAAAATGGAGGGTAGGATGTTAAGTTCTGTTAATAACGGGTCTGTCTGCAAAAATTTGCTTAAGTATTGTTGAAGAAGCTGTATACCTTCCATTAGGCAAATTCACATATCCAAGCATTACTGGGACTTTATGATCTATCACCCCAGTTTCTTCTTCGTGCCCTGCTCAAAGTCCTTACCGCTTTTACTAGTGTCCCTGTTATCTTTACTTAGTGCTTTTTGTTTTTGTCATGTCACGGGTACTATTTCTATTATTGCTTTCCAAGAGAAAGGGAGGAAATGAGAAGATGTGTTGTTATTAACAATGAGTAAGTAGTATGGGGTAGGCTTTTGATAAGGGAATTGGTTGTGGGAGAAGTCTTCCTTTCATGGGAGACTGTTGGCTTTTTTCTCATGCGAAGCTGCTATTCCAAGTACTACCAGGGGGCATGGATATTCAAGAATCTTCATCAAACGTGTCTCTGTTTTCTTGTTAGTGTTCCATTGAAAGACGAAGCTGTTTCAAGCAGGTTGCAGAAGGGATTTTTCTTCTTGTTTTGCAATTGTGAGTCCTTGGATCCATCTCGCGCCTTTGTTCTTCACTGTTTGAAGAACAGAACAATGTCCAAGCCATTTGAAGAGCTTCTTTGTTGGGGACTTTAAAGAGTTCCTTAGTATGAGGTAGTTGTCTCAAGCTAGTTGTAGATGGCCTTTTTCCTCTGCGAGTCCTCGAATCCATCTCATGCCCTTGCACATCTCCTTCTCGATGAGAGGAACATGGTTCAAGCTATGGAAACACTTATTTTGGCAAGGCTAAGCTGCAAACAAGTGATTGGGCTTCTTCTTCCTCGCGTGGTAGGGCCTTATCTTCTTTTAAAGTTTGTGTTTGTGTGTCTGTTTTTATTTCTACCGTTGTTTCCATATTGGTTTTTGGTTCTTGTGTACGTAAAAACTTCTATTTTGATATTAATAGTATTTTGATATTAATAGTGATTGTTTCTTTGTCGACCCAAAAAAAAAAAAGACTTGGGTTCAAATTTTAAATTTTATATAATTTAAGTTATAATAAATATTTTTATATAAAAGCAAGGTGGGCCTTGACGGTAATATCTGAAATTAGCAACATGTTATATGTTGTGAAATAATTTGCTGGCAGAAAAATTGTAGTAGGGCATAACACGTTATTGATGTTGGTTTCAACAACATGGTTCATGTTACTAATTGTAAAGTCCACTTTCAATTAAAAAAAAATATTGTATAAATATTAACAACATATTTCTTATCAGTAAAACACACTATACCAAGAAACAAAGTTATATTGTTGATAATTAGTTACAAAAAATAAAATTTTAGTAGTGTATGTAATTACTCTCACAAACAAGGATTGGGGTTCTAGGGACAAATGTTTTCACGTCTCATTAGAAGGCAGGTGTTGGAATTCACTTGATGTTATTTTTCTTTATAAATTTGTATAATGATTTTTTAGATTATTATATAATTTTATTTATAATAAATAAATTTTTAAGCAAATAATATCAACAAATATAGTGGTTTCTATTGACAAATAGTTTTGTGTGTTTTTTTAAAGAGAAAGTGTTCGGATCTCCTTAATGGCATTTAGACATGGTAAAATTGATCTAACTCAAAAAATTAACCCGACTTACCTACAATAAGACAAAATTTATATTTAAGGTATTGACCAAATATTTCATATGATTTAAATCAAAATTATCCGAAATGAGATTGGGTCAGATCTACTTAAAGTGATAAAATTAAAATTAATTTTTTAAATATTTTTTACTTTTCATACATTAATTTTAAATGAAAATTTAATATGATATATAAATGACAATTGAACAATTTTTTTAAACAAATGAAGCAATTCAACAAGAACTATATATATATATATATATTTCAATATATATATATATATATATATATTTCAATAATCATTTATATCTTTTTGTTAAATTTTTATCGAAAACTAGTGATATAAAAATTTGAAAAATCAAATTAAAACAACTAAATTTTTAAATTTTTTTTGAATTATATAATAAAGGTAACTTTTTTTTATTTTTTAATCTATTCTATTGGCATCTCATACAATTCATATTCAAAATTTTTTGCTTTTATTAAATAAATTATTAATAAATTATTTAAATCATTGGCATTAAAACAACTAAACTTAAATTAAATGAAGGGAATGCCAATTAATGATTATCAAAAAAACAACTACTAGTAATATACTTTTAGTGCTCTAGCGAAAAAGACAAAATCAATGCTTGACCAATATTGTTTAGCTAGTAGTTCTCTCTTCTTTTTAGAATAATGGATATTTTTTATTTAAAATTTATCTCAAAATAATAGTTATTTTTTTAATTTTAAGAAAAATAAAAATTTGTGTCTTTCACTTTAATCTTATAATTATTTCTCAATTTTAATTATCTTTAAATCCTTAATTTGAAGATAAAACTAAAAAATATTTATTATTCTGGAAAGAAGAAAATGGTAATTATAAATTGATTGCAATACTTAAAATTTTTTATTGTTTTTAAGGATTTGGAAATAATATTTGTATTTGTTTATAATATCTTTAAAAAAAAGATAAAAGACAATTTTTGTTTATTTTATGGATTAAAGAGAGAATTTTTGTTATTAAGTGATTGATTAAAATAAATGATAATAATAGGATTAAAATACAAAAAAATATAGTTTAATATAGTTTTAATTATAACTTTAAAGGTTAAATTTATCAATAAAAAAATATTATTTCATAAGTCAAGTTTAAAATTTAAGTCTTGAGGCTAATATTTATGAAAATTAATATCTTTAAATGTATTAAATAAATATAATTGGTACATCTTTTAAGATCATTTTAAAAGAATTAGTTTCAAAATACATTAAAAAAAAAAAAGTAATTATCGTGCATTTATACACTGAGGAAATTGTATGGATATGATTATGCCCACATAACAATCTAATAGTGCCACACAAACGACACAGTCTGATTATTTTTATTTTTTATTTTTTTGACCAGGACACAATCTGATTATTGAAAATAAAATAGTTAATATTTATTATTTATTAATATATTACAATTAATTTAAATTTAATATTTTCAAAATTAACTAGCTGCTTATTGAGAAAAATATTAATGGTTGCGTGGTCTTAGCGTGTCGTATATTAATTCCTAAATAATCCCTCATTTTCTCTTAATTCTTTTTCAACAAACTCATAATTTAAATTTAATATTTTCAAAATTAACTAGCTGCTTATTGAGAAAAATATTAATGGTTGCGTGGTCTTAGCGTGTCGTGTATGACGGGAACCGCTCCCGAATTGCACAAAACATTTTAGTCTTGTAAACATACGAAATGTCTCCTGAAAGGAAATGGGTATGATCAGAAACTGGGTGAGCCATTCAAAGACTGCTGCTTTAATCTGGTTCATCTCTTTCGCCTTGTTTTACTCTCTCTTCCACATGGCTCTCAACAATTCTTCCCTTTCTTCTTCAGGTAACCTGTGCAAGTTCTTTCCCTGTTTATGTTTTCTGGGTTGATTCGTTTAAATTGTTCTTAACTTTCTTTTTCTAGGATTTTCAGCGATTGAATGTGATCTTATCTAATTTTAGTTTCAAATTAAAGTTAGACCCTTGAGATCTTTTCATTGACCAATGCATGATTTCTGTACTTTATCTGCCAAGTACCAATTTTGACTGTAAAGCATAATTCTTGCTTCTAAAATCTCTATTATATTTTGGCAAGGAATTTGAGTAAAACCCTTGTTTACGTGTAGATTTTACTTGGATTTGATGGGATTATCCCCCTTCCCTATCCTTTCTCTGCAATTATACTGTTATTTATGACGATCAAAGACTGAGATTTTAGGGTTGTGCAATTTCAGCAACTGTGGTTTTTTTAATAATTTATTTTAGGCTAAACTATAATGCTTGTGAAAACTAGATATCTCATCTTCTCAATCAGAAATTGAAGTTATCACCCTCACTGTCTATTTTTTACTGTCGTTTTATATGAGGAAGTGGTTTAAATTTTATGGAAATGCTTGGATCAGGTTCTGATATTTCAAATATGGAGCAAAGGTCGCAATTGTATGATAGAATGGCAAGGGACTTAGATGAACATGGGGCAGTTTTCCTTAAACAAGGCAAAACTTCTAGTTCATTGTCGCTTTCTGATCTCTTCACTTTGAAAGATGGATCTGTAACACCTGTACTGAAGGTAGGATATGGTTAGATTGAGCTATAAACAATTGTATTCTTGTAGTTATGAGCTGAGAATAATGGCTAGACTCCTATCTGTAGGCAGCAAATCCTCCAGTACGGGCTAATGTTTTGTATCTGAGCACAGAATACTCAGTGCCCATCTTGTAAGCATCTAATTCTCGTTGCCTTGCTGTTTTTTTAAGTTATGTATTCTTCCTCAAAAGGTTCTCAAAAGCTCTTCAGCAACTTATAGGACATGATAAATTGTTTGGCCTGTTTTGCATAACCAATTGATCCTTTGACTAGGAGAATAACATTAATGCAACTAATTTTGGTCACACAATTCATCTTGGTCTGTGGATGTTATTGTCAAACAGCTACCTTATGATAATGAATGTCCTACTTGCAATGGACATCACTAGTCTATGTGATTTTGCATTTCATTTAATGATCAGCTAAAGAGCTTTGGCTTATTCAATTTAACAGCTTTATTAGCACTGTTGGATACAGAACATGGTTGGATAAAAAAAAATGATTGATACAGTTTCATGAATATCTTACGATGAGTTTGAGACTACTAATTTAGTGAACATTCTTTTTCATTTATTTGTTTTCTATTCTGAATCATGTTCCCAAGAGTGGTTTTCTTGTCCACAGGATTGTTTTCAAAGCATGGTAATTAGATGGTTAAAATTTGTTGTTCATGCTTTAA